CACACACACACAAACACACACAAACAATAAAACAAAAAGGTGAAAAGTTAGAAACAAAGATAGCTGACCATAATGGTAGCCTATTTCCTATTTTCGAAAGGAAGTGGAAAACTGCAAAATGGACTTAGCTGTGACCATAAATTCAACTCATTATTACTACTGGTATTCAGAAAAACATTGATGATTTGCTGGATAAACCTGAGCTAACCTGGATAAAGCAATGGACAAGTATCGTGCCAGCTACTGATTATTGGATCTAAAACACTGTCATCAGTTTCTAGACGGAAAAAAGGAAAATAGGAAAAAAGCTACAAATCGCACTAAACTAATGCAACAGAACTTCGAAGTTAGAGAGCTTGCATAATTGCTAATGAGTACCACACTGATATGTATGATGGGATCCCGCAACTAGAAGATAGTATTTGCCAGGATACTCTCTCAGTGTTTACCTCACAAACGGACAATATATCCTGTTTGCATGATCTACTTGCTTGCAAATGCTTTATTGGGGAAGCCGAGGAGCTTGTTCTCAACTTCTGTTATTACCCTTGAATGTCACCAAGTATTGGACGCAAAGATAATGTAACAACTTTGAAAAAAGGAAGCATGCATAATATTTTGGTCATTACAACCCGAGTTCTATGAAACCCCACAAAGAGATAATGTTGACCAAGACACTATCTAGGTATTTACTGTACCTCATAACTGACAAATCCTGTTTGTAATTATGTATGAGTACAGAAGTTGTGACATGTATACTGTTCTTGATAGTTTTTTAGAAGTCTTTAACCACAAAGGCTATTCAGTTTCAATATAGATTATGCATCATTTCAATATTATAGTTCGGAGGTTAATGTTGTGATATGTACTGTTCTTATATTTTTTTTAGAAGTCATTCAATTACAAAATGTATAAAAAATGTGTCAATAGAAAGGGCTACAGTACCAGATTGCCTGAAGTGTGCGTCTCTTTAGTCTCGTCTCAAAAAACCATCTTTGGACCCACGCGAGTATAATAACTTTCGCCCAGTTTCTATCCTCAAACTTGTCAGTAAAGCAATTGAAAAGGTGGTTGCAATTCAAACTAATCGACACGTATTGGACAATGACTTGGATGATCTTTACCAATCTGCCTATAAAGCACATCACAGTACAGAGACAGCATTGTTTAAAGTGCATAATGATATCCTTAAAGCTCTTGATAGTCAGAAATGTGTTATTCTTCTGCTATTAGATCTGTCAGCTGCATTCGAAACCGTAGATCACCACATCTTGCTGGAACGTCTAAAAACAAGGTTTGGCATCGCTGGAAAAGCACTCAACTGGTTTAAATCTTACCTCTCTGATAGAACATTGACAATCAACGTCCCCAATGGTGAATCAACAGKRCGACCTCTTCCCTTTGGGGTCCCACAAGGGAGYGTACTTGGRCCTGTACTATTTTCTATGTACATTTCGCCTCTAGGAGACCTCATTAGGCGTCATGATTTGGAGTATCATCTCTATGCTGATGACACTCAACTGTACATCACCTTTAAAGTCAACTGTGCAGAAGAAATGAATGTGGCAAGATCTAGGATAGAGACGTGTGTACGAGATGTCGATGCATGGATGACTTGGAACAACCTCAAGCTTAATACAGATTAAACAGAATTGTTACTATTGAATGCACGCCATCGTCCTCAACCACCTCTGAAATCGCTGTCAGTATGTGGTGATGTAATCCACACAGCAGCTGAAGTTCGTAACATTGGAGCACTGATGGATTCAACTTTGTGTATGGACCAACATGTCACGAACATTTGCAAAACATGCTTTTATCAACATTAGTAGAATAAGAAAATATCTTACTCGCAAGTCCGCAGAAACATTAGTCCATGCACTTATTACATCTAGTTTAGATTTTTGCAATTCTCTCTTATTTGGACTACCAGACTATGCTATCGAACGTTTACAGAAGGTTCAGAATTCAGCTGCTCGTATAGTAACCCTTACTCGCAAGTATGAACATATAAGACCTATTTTATACGATTTACATTGGCTACCAGTCGAACAGAGGATTAAATATAAGATATTACTATTAACATATAAAGCCCTTAATGGACGGGCTCCAGGATATATATCTGATCTAGTTAATATCTATAAACCTAGACGTACTCTTAGATCGTCATCAAGTAATAATTTAGTCATGACTAGTTATAATTTACGATCTTATGGATATAGAGCATTTTATTAT